AAATTAGATCTAACTTTGTTTGATGGAGCAGCATGCTTATTGAGATCGATCCCTACATAGAACCAAAGAGGCAAAAGGCATATAACAAAGTGGCTAACTAACTTACAGAACAAATCACTGTGTAATGAAGAACAATGTATGACCTTATTTCCAAGATAACCCATCAGTCTCTGCCAACAAAAGATACTTTCATGTTATTGACATGTTCCCGTAGCTCGCTTTTCACTCAAATTGTTAAGAAAACACCAATCATTTGTTTGCTAGCTACTAAACAATACTGCGAAGAGTTCCACAGGATCCTATACCCGTTCTCGTTTGCTGTAGAACATGGTGAGTACAAGACAGTGCTTGGAGAATCCCCAAGACCATTATCATCATCTGAAGACCTTGAGAAGTCACTTGGCATGGCTGATGAATGAAGCCACTCATCAAGACTTAAGTCAGAAGGAGGAGTGCGTCCAACTATATTCCAGGTAGCTACAAAGATGCTGCTCAAAGTAATCAAGACTAAATTTCAGTAAATGGATCGTAAGAGTGATGTATGTGTGTATACCTGTAGTTTTGGACATCAATTATCCTAGGATTCTCATAATTCATTCCCCTTTGCCTAGCTTGCTGCTTCCAGTTCTTACTGAATTTCTCTATAAAACCAACTAACCAAGAATTTATCAATAACATAAAAACTCATTTAGTTTGATGAATCATTATTTGTAACTAAATATAAAATTATACCAGTTTTAGTAACCTTGATTGTGTTGGGAGCTTTCTCTGCTGAGAAGCTGCTTCTGTGATCAACTTCAGTTCCTGTAATCAATGAATATTATCTCAGGAGAGACAAAAATAAAACTAAAAAACATAATGCTCTGGGACAAAAACAAGAACAAGTAAACAAAATATGTTAAAGAAAAAAAGAGAAAGAGACTTTAGCAGCATCCAATCTACATGTTACTTCGACTAAGTTCACATGATACTTCCAGTTCAATAAAAACTGGAAAAGTAGCTAAAGTTTATGGTTCTCATGATACGGGTTGACATGAAAACGTGAAGTATAAAGGAGTATCTAATTCCAAACAATATCAACGAAACATTTGATGGCAAACACAACTAACTTGCAGATTATTTTCAGTTTCTTCTCAGTGGTGTTTTGCATATGCAAGCACACAGCTAACTTGCACTTTATTTGCATATAGTGGTATTCTCAGTTGAATTTTGCATATTCAAGCGAAATCACCAATCCAAAGGAAATTATTGATATTATTGTTACCTAAAGACGAATGATAATGATTTCCATACCTAGAGCAAGTGAAACCGCATCTTCTTCTTCCATTCTGTTACAAACAACGAAAGAGCAAGAAAAGAGTAAACACAATAGATCTCATAAGTGTTATATCACCAATTCAGAAGCTTGGGGGAAAATCACCAATCTATAAACTCTATTTGAACAAAAAACAGGTGAAAATCCAAAGAAAATGTAGTCAATACTACTACCACAGTCTGAAAAAATCAAGTCTTTATTAAGAAGCTCTTAACTTTCTTAAAACTTGGGGCAATAGGGCAGAAACTAATGAACTTTAACCATTGTTGAGAACCAAGCGAGCCAACATTAGAGAGGAAGAGAGAAATTAAGCAGAACCTGAGATATGTAAGAGAAGAAACGGAACAGACGCGGCGACTCCTCCTCCTCTTTGTCGGAATGATTCTTGAACGAAGACGTCGACGATGACACCACACGGTGGCTGAGATGTCAAGATCGACATTAGAAATCGAAAAGGGTTGAGAGGGTTTCCGTCGGTGAAACCAAACGGGAATTGTTTTTGGTCAAGGGTGCAGATCGA